CAGTAATTTTAACAGAAAATCTCTACAAACTTCATATTGTCACACAATTACCCTTATTACAAACACCTGCTGACTTGACAAGCACAAGCTGGTGTATAAAACACATTTGAACTTYGTCGCATTTCATTCTGCAAGTCCACTGCTGCAGGCAAAGACATGCTACAAGGCAATGCAAACTTGTTTTTACATCGTAAAAACCCATGTCTAGTTTAATCTGTTATCTATTTTATTTATTATATATTTCGCCGCAGCTTGAGTAGTTGAAAACAACAGTCTAGTGTTGTGGAATTTCCAAATGTTTGTACATAAAAGAAAACATTGTGCTTCTGTTCCAGGAGGGGGACACAGGTCCTGGTGTCCAAAGGAGGCGAGGAAAAGATGATGGTGGAGAGTGGGCAGGCAGGTAGGCATGGMGGATTATTTCATTTTCACTGGAATCAATCCATGCTGAGGGGTTACTTAAACTGAAGAGGTCWGAGTTTTCAAGGAATATGAGCACTGATCTGAAACAGCAGATGCTTGGTGAGGTTATTAAAAACAGCTTAGACAACTGGAACAAYATATGAACCAGGAAGTGCAAAGTACAGTTTCTGCCTGCCCACAGAGAGAGAAAAGGGGGTAAAAAAATCTGAAGCTGGCAGGAACACTTACATTAAAGATCTGAACTATCACTTTAAGCCATTTCACCCACACAAAGAAAGCAGGGGTACACTTATGAGATGTAAAAAGAAAGAAAAGTTTTTATTAAAAAAGAGAAAATTATATAGAGGAAAAAAAGTGAGAAACACGAGGAGTCACAGGCAGGAAGGGGAAAAAGAAAAAAGACAAATGAACAGTTGAACAAGAGAAATCAGAGGAGCATAAAGAGGAGGGAATGTTGGCACCCTGAGGTCACTCCTTTCAGTAAAACTAATTTAATTGCCTTGTTAGGAGAGATGTGGGTTGCTTCCTTTTGATTGGTTGGTTGGACATTAACTGTCTACAAAGGCAGACATTATGGAGCTCATTCACCACACACAAATTCCCTCCCATGTGTGTGAAAATATGTGTACTGACAGTATTTGTCCATATATACAAATAGCACATTCACATACTGTACAAGTACATTCACAAGTACACACTAAATTTAATGCTCTAATTTAAATGCAGATTAGATTAGCTTATTCATGCATTTATTGTAGTTTATTAATGATACTAAAAACCAAACAACCTCTGGTTACAGCCGTGTGTGTGTATTTACATCTAGTGCAAAATGTTAATGCACATTGCGTGTTGAAACACATGCAGACACATTGGTGTGTGTTTAGTTTAAAAGGCTTTTAGCTTGAGGACTATTAGGAGTCAGCTGTCTCGCTTGGAGACTACAAACACACACACACACACCTCGTGCGACCTCTCTGTCACTCCGCCTACGCTCACTCGCTGCATACCCACGGACGAGTCTGTCCACAAACCTCTACAAAATCTTAATTTCCCATGAGCCTCTTTGTTCTCTCCATGTCTCTTCTCCTCTTGCTCTCTACCTTTCATCGACCACTCACAGTTTAAGAAAGAAAAAAAAACAACATAAAAGTAATTCTGCCTTTTTGTGTTCCTCCTAATAGATTTGGTATGTGTGTTTGTGTGTCTTAAAGAAAACCAAAATGTGCAAAAATCAATTTAAGATAAATGAAAATTATCTTGGCACAAAACTTRACAAAAACAAAGCTTGTTGGGATAGATTTGGAAATTTTTTTGATGAGTCTCAGCTGCTGCAGGGACRTTAGAGCATAAAATTTACTCTAGCACCAGGTCATAGAGAGTAAAAGATGGAAAATGCTTTTTATTTCTTGTTAGTAATAACTACTGCTACCTGCAAGCTGCAATAATAGGTTAAGGGCTTGATTCATCAAAGGTTTGCGTGTGTAAAAATCTAGTACACGTTTATTTATTACCATGCGCAGACTTGTGGGGGCCCATGTGTAAAATAAAATGGTAAAAAAGTCACTTTTTTAGCTCACTTTCTGAGTATAAACACTTTTTGTTAACATTTGATTGGTATTTAACTCACTGTTTTTACATTTTGTTAATTTTTACAAAATGTTAAATCCTAAATCTAAATGGAAAAATGTACTGTAAATGTTGTAGCTAAATGTTGAAGTTTAAATTTAAGTGTTTCATAATTTGCTTTTGGTGCACGGCTTTTGTTGTGACATSATCATACTGCGACAAAATCAACGCTGCTAAAGTTGCTAATGCTTTCCACCAAGACATGAAGCTTGCAGTCGCGGCCAGTGTCTGAGCTGCACTTCAAACTGACGGACCACATGCACTATCGTTTGTGTCGTATTGTTTCCAATGAACTCATTTTGAATTTAAAATTTAATTGTCATCTTTAGCAATGTTAGCAGTGATAGCATTTGCCTTTATCGCAGGAAGATGACGTCACAACAAAAGCCGAGCAGCAACTGCAAGGGCTATGCTCCATTCCGGAATTTTATATTGTATGAATGTATATAATGTATTTTCAGTCATAAAGTTCAATTCTATACCACGATCAAGTAACAATGTTACCTTATAAAAATGCTGTATGTATGAAAAATAAATTTGACTTTGCATCATAGTCTATCTAAATGCTTTGAAATTGGCCTCTGTTTCTTTAAAGGGGCAATATTATGTGTTTCTTAGGTATATATTTAAATACTATACCATAATAAAGTATCTATATCACCTTTAGCTGTTATTAAAATGCTMTTTTTATGTTTAATTAGAAAATAAACTTATCTTCTCATCATTTCCTCTTCTAAATGCCTTGAAATTGGCCTCTGTCTCTTTAAGAACCACCTTCAGCTTCTGTCCCATCCATTTCAGTGCGGGGGGTTCGCACATGCGCTATGATGCAGTGTTTARTTGGCATCTGAAAATACATTTCCTCAAAGGTWTTTAGAATCRGAAAAGAGCTTCACTAAGTGAGAAGTAGTTAGCAGCTCAGCAGACAGTTTAAGTTTCACTTTCAGTTTCACTTGTTCTGCCGAGAGCCGGCAGGAGTCATGGGCGGGGTGTGTGAGGTGGGGGGTGGGGAGGTGTGCTCCGTGATGAGGAAGTTCGGCTTAAAGACGCGTCCCAG